CAAAGATGTCAGCAAATCGAATGTTTGTGCTGCATGCTGCTTCTCATCCATTAAAAACCGTTTGTTTCAACACAATCACTAAAGATATGGTGCAGCTTTGGCATTGCAGATATGGACATTTGAGTTTTACAGGCTTGAAAACTCTTCAGCAAAAACAAATGGTGAATGGTTTACCATTATTCACGTCTCCTTCCAGGCTATGCAAGGACTGTCTAGTAGGAAAGCAACAAAGAGATCCATTTCCAAAGAAAAGCACCTGGAGAGCTTCCCAAATTCTTCAGCTCATACATGCCGATATTTGTGGGCCGATCAAGCCAATCTCCAGTAGCCAGAAATGGTATTTACTCACCTTTACAGATGACTTTAGTAGAAAAACATGGGTTTTCTTTTTAGCAGCAAAATCAGAAACCTTTAATGCTTTCAAGAGATTCAAAGTTCATGTTGAAAAGGACACAGACACTTTCATTAGAGGCGTACGTACTGATAGAGGAGGAGAGTTTACATCACAAGAATTTAATACCTTTTGTGATGTAAATGGTATACAACGCTAGTTGACAGCAGCCTACATGCCTCAACAAAACGGAGTCGCCGAACGCAAAAACAGAACCATAATGAATATGGTACGCAGCATGCTTTCTGAGAAGAAAATTCCAAAAACTTTCTGGCCTAAAGCAGTTAATTGGACCGTGCATGTCCTCAATCGAAGTCCTACATTGGCTGTCAAAAATCAGACTCCAGAAGAAGCATGGAGTGGCATCAAACCTTCTGTTGTGTATTTCAGGGTTTTCGGCTGTATCAGCCATGTCCATGTGCCTGACAGTAAAAGAGCAAAACTAGATGATAAAAGTTTGGCTTGTGTTTTACTGGTGTAAGTGAAGAATCCAAAGCTTACCGACTTTATGATCCTGCATCACAAAAGATCATAGTCAGTAGGGATGTTGTGTTTGAAGAAGACAAAGGTTGGAATTGGGACACGCAGTATGATGCAACAATCAGGTGCAATTTGGAATGGGGTGAAGAGGAGCATGCAGCTGCTCATGCAGACAATGGCGATCACAGTGGCTTTGAACATGCAGCTGTTAATACAGAAGATGGCTATCATAGTGGCTCTAATCATGATGCAACTATAGCACCAGCTGTAGAAGAAGCAGAACCGAACGACAGCCATGAATCTGATCTTGATATAAATACAGCAGAAGCAACAGCAAATTCTTCTAATGATTTGTTGGCTGCAGGTTTGCCTAGCTTGCATGAACGAAGAAATAGAAGACCATCCGTTTGGATGCGTGACTATGAAACAGGAGGACTCTCTGAAGATGACACTGCAACTCAACTGGCCATGTTTGCAGCAGCTGATCCAATTCGTTTTGAAGATGCTGTAAAAAGTGAGAAATGGAGGACAGCTATGGATGTCAAAATCGAAGCCATAAAACGAAATGGTACGTGGGAATTAATGGAGTTACCTGCAGGGGGAAAGAAAGTTGGCGTGAAATGGGTTTACAAAACCAAATTGAATGAAAATGGAGCAGTAGACAAGTACAAAGCGAGGCTTGTAGTGAAGGGATATTCTCAGCAATATGGGGTTGATTATACAGAAGTATTCGCACCTGTAGCACGTATGGAAACAATTTGGTTAGTGGTGGCTCTAACAGCTCGAAGAGAATGGGCTATATATCAACTGGATGTAAAGTCTGTATTTCTCTATGGTGAGTTAAATGAAGAAGTTTTTGTGGAACAACCTTATGGTTATGTGCAAAAAGGACATGAGTACAAGGTTTATAAATTAAAAAAAGCACTTTATGGGCTTCAACAAGCACCACGTGCTTGGTATAATCGGATAAAAACATATTTCATAAAAGAAGGTTTTGAAAAATGTGACTATGAGCATACTTTGTTCACCAAAACAGGCAAAGAAGGTAACCTTTTTATTATCAGTTTGTATGATCTCAGAATTTAAAAATTCCATGAAGCATGAGTTTGACATGACTGATCTTGGCAAAATGAGGTATTTTCTGGGTCTTGAAGTTTTGCAGACATCTACTAGTATGTTTATTAATCAGAAAAAGTATGCGTCAGAGGTGTTCAATTCATAATCCTATTGTTCCAGGTTGTAAGCTCGTGAAGGATGAAGATGGAGTTAAAGTAGACAAGACTCACTTTAAACAAATGGTGGGTAATTTCATGTATCTTACTGCTACATGACCAGACATGATGTTCGTAGTCAATCTTATAAGTAGATATATGGAGAATCCAACTGATTTATATTTGCAGGTGGCAAAATGAGTGTTGAGATATTTGAAGGGAATACTTGATTTTGTAATTTTTTATAAGAAGGGAGGAAACAATGATCTTGTTGCCTACACAGATAGTGATTATACTAGAGATTTGGAAGATAGAAAAAGCACTTCAGGCTATGTATTTCTATTGAGTTCAGGAACAACATCTTGGCTATCAAAGAAACAACCAGTAGTAAGTCTATCTACCACTGAGGCTGAATTTATTGCTGCAGCTTTATATGCTTGCCAAACAGTATGGTTGAAAAGAGTTCTGGAAAAGCTGGGACTGAATCAAGACAAAACAACTACTATTTATTGTGATAGTAGTTCCACAATCAAGCTTTCAAAAATTCCAGTAATGCATGGTCGTAAAAAGCATATCAATGTGCGTTTTTATTTTCTTCGGGAGCTTACTAAGACTGGTACTGTGGAATTAATTTACTGCAATACACAAGATCAAATAGCTGATATAATGACAAAGCCACTCAAGCTAGATGCTTTTTTGAAGCTGCGAGTATTATTAGAAGTTTATTCTGAGAATGATATAAACTGATGCTTATGGCATTCAGTTTAAGGGAGGCAATGTTGATTTGGTCTCTTATTGCTTAGTCTAAATAAATCCCTACTGTAAAGGGTGCTGTTATTATTTGATTTAGTCTTACCATGTTTCTAGAAGTTGTTAAACGTGGGTTGCACATTTCTTGTTAATTCTGTTATGTAAGGCTATTATATAGCCAACATCATTCAATGATAATAAACAATTCAGTCTTCTCTTTCATACATTTCCTAATATTTATCAGATTTTAGAATGAGGTTCGAATACTGAAATGAATGTCAAGATTTTAGCTAAATGGTTGAGCAATATCATTTAGCTAAAAATTGATCACATGTTTCTAACAATTAGAAAAATTCGTGCTTTGAATTCTTCAATACTTGAAGTCTTGTCTTGAAAAACGACTCATATTCAAAAAACATAGTCATGAAAATATCAATGGGTACATGGATGCTGACTGGGTTGGGAGTACTACTGATAAATTGAATATTTCACTTTCATGAAAGGTAATCTAGTTACTTGGAGAAGCAAGAAACAACATATGGTTGTACTATCTAGTTCAGAGGTTAAATTCAGAAGCATGTCTAAAGGACTTTGTAAGCTTTTCTGGCTAAAGAAGCTACTAGAAGAAAGTAGTATTTATCTAGTTCTAAAATGAATATGTTTTGCAATAATAAAATAGCTATAGAGATTGCATAAAACTCAGTACATGATGGAACAAAACATGTAAAAGTGGACTGATATTTTATTAAGAAAAAACTTGATCTAAGATAGTTAAATTTCCTTTTGTAAAATCTAAAGAACAACCAGAAGATGTTCTCACAAGAGCAATCTCAAGTAAGGTATTTTATGATTCAATGGATAACTTGGGCATTTGAGACATCCATGCATCAACTTGAAAGGGGTGTTGACGTAAGTTACCAACAAAGGATAGTTTTTGGAGAGATTATAGGGATTTCGTTTGTTATTTGGTATCCACTGGTTATGGAATACCAGTTAATTCTAGCCTAACTTTATGTATGACTGTAATTACCTACATAGAATAAATCTCCTGTGTACATACTATATAAATATACTCTTGTATTCTGTAAGTGACATATAGAAGTTGATATATTTTATTATGTGGCTCATTGACAAATGTTACTAATACATTTTGTATGACTAGGGTTTATTATAAATATATATTTTATGTAATTCTACTTTGATATATAATGAAATACAACGTCTCAGTACTCCTGTGGATATAGGTACGTTAAATCTATATGTATATATACCAAGTTTCACATCAAAATGATACTACTGTTTTTATATCTTTACCGAAGCTGAGAGATATTTATGTTTCAACTCCTGCAAATATATACTGAAATCTCTCTGTACAATAGTTGATTATGGGGGCAGAGACAAACCAAATGTTACTACTGTTTTTTTGTCATGATGCAACGTTGGTCTTCTAGTAAAGGGTTGCAAGTGAATTAGTCTGAGACTGAGGTGGACCGTTGGTTTTGTATTATATTTTGCAAAAGAAAAGAAGAAGAAGAAATGTTGAATCTTGTATTCATTCCTACAAATCTAGTTTCATATATAAAACTAGCATAGATTGTTAAGAAATAGGAAGTGCATAGTAGTTTGGAGTGCTCTTATGTTATTATAATTATTGTTTTATTTTTTATTTGTTATGCTGATTTTCCGGTTCGCTAGATGACCAACTTAATTAATTTCCTCGACCTTCATAAAAAAATAAAAAAGGAAGGGAAGAGGGAAGAAATCTCAGAAAAGAAAAGGAAATTCCAGGAAGGAAATGCTTTGGCTCATCGTGTATTTGTTATGTGATGGACTCAATTTAGCTGTGTTCCCTTTTTATACGATGAAATGAGGGAGGAAAAAATAATCACAAATGATTTTGATAGATACTTTTGCTTTGTGTAAAGATTGTCAAAAACATATACATGCATGTTTAGTTAACGCAAAGCCATTCATGGTCTGAGATGCCAGGATGGTACATAAACATTATTATTATTATTATTCGCATTATATTGCATATTTTTTAACCAGTTTAAGCGTCAATTAACACTAAATTATTTTTTAAGAGATTTTAATCGCTCCTTTTTTAATTATTATATATAAGATGATGTATCCCGAGCAATGGATCATAAAGCAAATCTATCTTAGCCAAGATAAATGTAGTTAAAATTAATAAATACGGCATCTTTATTCATAGCAGTCTTGATAGGCTGACAATCCCGCCAAGAAGAGTGACATGGTGTTTATTGATAGTACGAAATGGATTGATTTTTGGACGAGAACGTTGATGCCAGCCGATGCATAGCTACATAGAGTTGGATCCTTCGAATCTTCTAGTTCTCCATGCACACCAATGTTCAGTCCTATGCTATCCGAGACTTGGTTTCCTCTTATCTTCCCATTTGTGCAGACGACTCTTAGCCTTCTCCACCTGAAATTGGAACATCTATAGAATCAAGAACTTCATCACAAGATAGAGAAATTAAATGATTATTTCTGACAGCCATGCGATGCACATGTTGGTTAAAGTTGCTGGATTCACACCAACCAGACGACCAAGGAACGTCAATGACATTGATTTCTGTTAATTATAGCTATGAATTAATGTGAAGGAGAAATCACAACCACTCTATAGACTATTCTGATGGATGCTCTTGAACCAATGTAACAAATGCACATCTAGCCTCCTTCTGTCATTATTAAATGCTTCACACCGCGCGCAGCTACTCCTGCACCGCGTTGTATCATCAACATTAAATTTAACGACAGAAGGCAGATCAGGAGGGGCATCTAGTTTGCTATGGTTTTACTTGTCTTGGCCTGACGACAATCATGTGTTGATGTAGAATTTGCTTATTTTTTTGTTGTTTCTACATGAATTGTCATATTTGCACTCATTTTGTTTACTAAGAAAATAAATAAATCCCCCCTTCCTTATCCAGTATGATTCATTTCCCGTACGTGCAAGCATCGAACGATGCATATCAAGGAGATTTTGTAATTTATAACAATAGATACTCATCAAATCACTCACCTCCTTCCTCCAATCTGTTCGAAATGTTACCCACAGTAAGATTAGGGTTTGCAATAGTGTTCCACCGATCATCCCAGACCATATGCCCTACATAGAAAAGTTCAAAGTTCAAATTAAACATTTTTGTTTTTTACTATATGCATTCCATTATATTCTTTCTAGGCAGTGCTCAAAGATCAAATGTTTGCTTAAAAAATTATATTATATTTTGTTTATGCGCATAATATATTTTTTTCCATGGAAATTAAGATTCATAGGTTTTATAACTACACGTCAGAAGCAAAACCTATATACATTATAAGGAAAAAAGTTACAATCACTTGAATTGGAATTAACCTCTCTACAACTGCTATAGAGAAAGAGAGGTTTTACCTTTACTCCAAGATCAAACTTAAAGCCCATAAGACATCCAAATGGAATTCCAACCACATAGTAACATCCCACATTCACATATGCAACAGATGCTTGCCATCCACAGCCAACGGCCACCCCTTCATCACATTCCATTTCAAAATGTATAAGTTATCATAACAATGTGTGCTAAAAAATATATTAGTGAATTATTTATATGATATGATGCATTTCCATTTGTTTCTTTTGGAAAAAATATTGTGTTCTCTAAATATTATTAGAGAGGAAGAGCATAAAAAGTGCTAGGTGTTGTCATCGTGCGAGACTAATTTATGATGAATATTTAAAGACATTTTGATTAGCTGCTGCTGATTTCTTGATTAATTAATATAAGAAAGGATCACTTGGAACCATGGTTGATTCATAGTACTTGTTTTTTTTTGTAATAATAAAAGATTTTATTAAAAAAATAACTACAAATTAAGATAATAACCTAGAGGAAAGAAAACAGGAAAGCACAAAAGCTGCTGTAACTTTGAAACGGGGGAGCAAAGCAATTGGGAGGAACGAGAAAAGCATAAAAAACAAACTCGTTTTTACTAAATATTTTTTATACTAAGTTTTAAAGAGCTGGAATCAAGTATTAGTAATAAAAACAATATTTCGACGTATCATGGAGAAGGTGAGGATTCATAGTACTTGTTTGGATTAGCAAGGGGAATTCATGTCCTTTACTTTGCCAGCTGACACCAATAGTTAATGAATAATAAATAATGTCTGGACAAATCATAAGTTGTTTGCATGCGGATTTGCTAATTAAAAAAAAAACATTTGTCCGATCAAATCCCTTAGGAAACCATTCGTAAGGACTGCATGCACAGCCCTTTTACACCGTTTAATACGTGATCTAGTAACACCATTTGATGCTCTAGGCATGCTAAAAGTTAAAATAAAGAAATTAATTAAAAAAAGAAATTAACATGAAAAGTTCTTTATTACCTGACAAGACTGGTTGAACCCCATTAAGTATGAGGGTGACAGCCAATAATGGGCAGAGATCTGAGACTGCATTGGCCACAGTTTCACCACCGGTGAAGACATAGCTGATTACATGGCGCCGAGCAAGAATTGCTCCAGCTTCTATCAGGGAGATTATAAAAGAAACCAAAGTAACCATGACAACTGAAAATGCTGCTGACTTGTGATTTCCAGCTCCCAATTCATTGCTAACTCTTACACTGTTCAGTAGGATTCAAGTATTTTTATTTAATGGGAATTTTGCAATTAGAAACAAACCAGGACTACAAAAAATAAGCTAATAATAATGGACAGCTACATTTAAAAGTCAAATAACAGGAGAGAATTCGTCAGTGGTATGATTCAAATCTTTCTAATTAATTCCTTGTCGTTTCACTATTGTGAGTTAAGTTGGAAACTCGCATTGAGCTATTATTTCTAGAGAAAAAGGGGAATCTTCTAAGTTAATGTACATGATAATGGAGATAAAAGAAAATGACTAACCTTGCAGCTGCATTGAAACCGACTGATATCATAAACAAAAACCCTGTTATTGACATGCTGCAAAAGACGTATAATGTAATTATTAATTTTTATTATTATTAATTTAGAGTAGATTCAAAACTGAACATCACGATCACAAAATTTTCTTGTGTGTTTGTACCCTTACTTCAACCACTCATTAGCCCATAATAAATGGTCCATAAATAATAGTAAATGCATGCGTAGTGTCAGCCACTTTCCTGTCTCTCATAAAGTTTTTAATTAGGTGTACATGTTTTTGCTTTTCGGAATAATTTTTTATTTTATTTTTTGAATGAAATTGTTAGCTTGAAACATCGGTACTGTGTGTGTACATGTATATATATATATATGCAAGACAAATATTATTAATGAAGAAAGTTCAAATCTTTATACGAGTGGTTTGTCAAGCTTGAGGAATCAAATTTCAATTCCTTACCACACAGAAAGAGAGTTCAAGGCAAGCTCAGGATTCTTGAGAAGGCCAGCAATCAAGACTAAAATCTGAAAATACCATGTCTCCAAGCAAAGCATTACAGCTGATCCCGTTGACAATTTCAGGAAATCCCATAGCCCATTAAAAGCTTGGCTGGTAAAGCCAGTCCATGTCTTCTTGCACCGCCTACTCATCACTATAAATAAAAATTGAGCTGCCACTACAATCCACCATGACAAGCTTAAAACAAGTGATGCTCCTATCAATCCCCACCCTAACTTGTACACTGCCAGCCAGGTTAAGAATAGGTGAAAGACAAGTGTAATTGCTGATATTATGGCACTTGGGGTCACTATGCTTTGTGCTTGAAGGAATTTTTGTACTGGAAAATTCACAGCATAAGCAAAAATCTGGGGTAAAAGACCATAAACAAAGACAGCTGCAGATGATGCTACTGTTGTTGGTTCACCAAGTAAGATCAAGATTGGTTTTGCGAAAACATATACTGCAGCCAGTGGTATCCCTGTTAGAGTAAGCACCACGGTTGCTCTTTGAAGAAATGTGCCTAGCATTTCAAATCGTTGGGCTCCATAAGATTGACCACATAGAGTTTCCACAGCACTCCCCATTCCTAGCTACAAGATCAAGACACAAAAGCAAACCAATAAGATTACCTATGTAAGAAAACCTAGAGTTTCGCAGTTGATATTAGCTTATTACCATGAGGCCATAGACAAAGAGTTGGACACCACTATTGGCAAGAGAGACAGAAGCAAACTCAAGATTGCCAAGGTGGCCGGAGAAGATTCTGGTAGATAAGGACAAGGAGTTGTTGATCAAGTAAACAAAAACTGCTGGTGCAGCCAAGCGGAAGAGGAGTTTAAGTTCGATCCAGGATGCCAACCCGAGGCGCATGAAGTAGCTTAAGTTGGTGTCGTTTAGAACATTTTCAAGTCTAGAGTCCGCTTCATGATAATGATCATTGGTTTCAGGTTTTGCGGATGAGAGTAAAAGGGGTTCTTGGAGTTCTCCTCGAGACTCCTTACTGTCCATTTTGGCGGTGGTCATTTGGCTAGATTTAATGTGTCAAAAGAAAGGAGCATAGGGGTCTTAGAAAGGGTTGATGGATATATATATATATATACATGGACATAGGCTTAGCAAAATAGTGTAGTATGAGAAATTTTATGGTGTTCCGACTATGTATAATTACTTTTAAAAGAGATATATAAGGAGAAAGGAGAAAATAAATAAATAAATACTTTGCCGGGCGAACACACACACATATATATTGCGTCTCAAATTTGATTTTTTTTGTTTTATCAGCTTTATTCCAAATAAACATAAAAAACAACTACTAATATTTAATTTTTCTCGCGTTGTCAATATATTTACTCCGTCTGATAAATGAAATGGACTGATAATTAGTTTCAAATTACGTCCGTGTTAAATATGGCTTAAATGGGATATAAGTGGCATGAGCTGGATGGCAGTTGCATGAAAGTATTATAGAGGTTGGGATAGGAATAAATATAAGGTGCATGGCTAACTTCAATGAGACGTGTTTTGTTCAAAATAAAGAAGGATTCCTTTCCTATTTAATTAGGAGATTTGCGAACCAACCTTGTAGTTCAAAAAACATATTTTTGTTATGGATTTTTATAATAAAAATAGATTGTAAAAATATAATTAGTCACTTACCAGATCCAAAAAAAATTTAAGCTTTGTAAATCAACGGGAATGACAAATACATGATATCAAAAATATTTGAATTCAATCATTATTAGATTTTAAAAGTATATATTTGATCTTAAACAATACTCTAAATCTAAAATATTATAAATATATTAAACCGTTATACCTCTTCAATTATATGTACCTTTTATATTCAATGTAATGATTTTTCTACACTCATAAATATATATAAAAATTTTTAAATAACTTATTAATTTATTATCTTATTAATGATATGTTAATTATATTTTTTTTCATTAACATCACCGAAAATAAAAAACTTTTCAATTATCCTCTTCTAAAAAACAAACAAGATTCAAGGGTATAAATACTTTCTAAGCTATCCATATAAGGATTCAAAACTTTTTATCTCTTAAGATAAATTTATATAAATTTTAAAATATTAACCATTTTAAAATTTAAAAACAAACATCTTTTTTTATTAAATTTAATGTTCTTTTAAGTCATTTATTATCTTCACATAAATATATTGATTTTATCATTGGAGAATTTTAAATTTCTGATTGAGACTATTTTTTAAGATACTCAGGCTTCTACCATTGGCTTAGAATTCTTAATCTAAATAAAAGAATTCAAATATATAAACATATTGACTAACTATTATCCCAAAAACTAAAATACATATTATTTATATATCTTAGATTATATCATATGGACGAATCAGAATCATGTAGAAAAGAATAAAAATAATAATTAAGAATTAAAATTGAATTAAAAAAAAAGGACCAAAATTAAAGCTGTTGTATACCAAAAATTAATTCGTGCTCACAAAAAATAAGTGGATACAACTATTGTGCATACCAACTATTGAGACCTTCTCATGATCAATTAAAGCTTTTAATTTCTTCCAACATTTGTTTGGCTCAAGAGTTTGTTGATGGCCAAGACATTGTGGCACAACTGGCGAAAAAATGCGTTTCTCAAAGACAGCAACATTTTTTGGCCATAAATGTTTTTCTTGAACCCATTCTACGTCAGCAATTGCTGCTCTCACCCAAGCACGCACATCATTAGTAGCTTTGTCTAGCAAAGCAGGCAATGAGTCATCAAATTGCTGGATGGCATCCTAGTATTGGTCTGAGCAATCTTCTAGGGCTTGCTCAGTGACAGGGTTCAAAGTCTTGTTACCATGCAATGTTGTCTTGATGTACGAGGATGTGTTTGTTGCATTTGATGATGCAAGGTTCAATGCAATCATGCCCAGTTGTTGTAAATTGGCGTTTTTGCTACCAGGGTTAGATTCGAGGCTTGCAACACAATTACCCTTGTTACGGATTTTTGTACACGCTTGTTGGATTAGGTTGGTTCTTCCGCTGGCAATTGATGGGTGGAAGAAGAAGGTGCGGCTGAGAGTTACTGAAACTAACAAGAAGCTTGTAAAGGGCTTGATTTTTTCTTGCAATTCTATTGAAGGTGATTGGTTGTTCGTGGGTTTTAAATCAAGAACAGTGAAGGCTGATTATTCAAAAATAGTTTCTTGGACAAGAAGTATTCTGTAGGTTTTTGTTAAATTATATTAGTCAAAAGAGTCATGGAGAGCAGCAATGGAAGAACCAAATGCGCTTGACCATTGAATAAAGCTGTTCCTCAGGAATTACATGCTTCTGATACGTTAACTTGTGCGTAAGCATAGGAGCGTGCCAAAATAGTCATTACGTTGAAGAAAACCTGCCCTCCTAATTGAGTGCCAAAATATTGTTGAAAAATTAGAAAATGATTTTATCTTGGGATAAAAATGCATGCTAAAATGAAAGGTTTCACAGGAGAAGTTAGGCTGCGTAGGATACGCACCAATCTTCAATCTCAATCTTCCCATTTGTGCAAACGACTCTTAGCCTTCTCCAACTGAAATTAGAACATCTACATAATTGAGAGCTTCATCACTAGAGAAATTAAATGATTGTTTCTAACAATCAAGCGATGCACATGTTTGCCAAATTTGCTGGATTCATCTCAACAAGTCAATCAAAGGAACGCCAGTTGCATCTGGTTTTTGTTTGCTGTAGTAATTAATAGGATCACGAACTGTATATCCAAGATGCTCTCGATCCATATTTGCTTGCAAATAATATCAATGTTGATGATCAACGTAGTACAGGCATAGAGGCAATCATCAAGCATTCAAAGCAATCTCTAATATCTGTCTGTCTTTCCATCTATATCTATCTATCTAGCAGTAAAATAAATAAAAGTTTATGCTGATTTTTTGTTTTAATGTATATGATATATTGATGCTTCTAGTTTTGTAAGGGTGTTTTTTATTTAAATATTTATTGATTATTTTTAATATTATCATTTTAAAATCTTTTAAATAAATTAAAAAATATTTTAATTTAATAATTTTTTAAGCTAAATATAATTTTAAAAAGCATACCCAAATACAATTTCAAACACAAACAAATGATTTTGTTTGTTACTGCAATGATGAAAATAAAGTCGCTCCAGTAATTGCAGAATTTGATCTTTTGTATTTTACATATGATATTTTATTTATTTAAAAAAAAATTAAATTATATTGTTTTTATAAATTTATTTTTTAAAATTAAAATTTTTTATTGAACCTGATTCAAGAATTTTATAATTTTCATAATCACGGGTTTTACGAATTAACCTTGATTGAGTCATATTTTTTTATTTTTTTTTTCAACATTAAGTTGTACAGATCACAAATTTTGTATCCTAATCCAAGTAGGCATGAATCAAGTTTTCTTTAACTTTTTCAATTATATTTTATCTAAATTTTTATTTTAACCATTTTATTTCTAGAAATTGAGCTTCACTTTTCATGTTCTTATTTGATTTATTAGGAATTGATATTGAAATTTTTTTCTAAACTTTTTTCTATAAAACTATTTCAATCCTATATTAATGGTTGTAAAATTTATGATTTAACTCAATTTAACTGAAGTTTCTTTATTGTCTTTTTTTTAAAAAAAAATTCTTCATGGAGTCGATTTATAATCTAGGTTGGCTCAAATAGAGTTCTTTTACCCTTTTTTTGTTGTTATTTGTTTTGATTGTTTATTTATTATTGTTGTATTTTTTAATCATCTTATTTAAATTATCAATAAACTAATTATTGGAGTCTTAATTTTTTTTTCTTAATATTGTTTTACATTAAAAAAAATTTTGCTGGCAAAGGTTGTGGTACAAATCTAGTTTATTAATGATGTTGGATGATTAAAATCTTCCTTCCATGATCCTAGTTGTGCAAAGTTACCCCCATAAATTTATGATAGCAAGAACTTGTTTGTGTGCATTATTTGAAAGAAAAGTAATCTTGGTAAGGGGAATTTAGAGATATGAGAGGATGTACTAAATATTTTTTAAAAATTATTTTTCACCAATGCTATGAAGGATTTTGTCAGATCTATTTCCTTTTCATATGTTTAAATTTTCATATTTTTATTTAAGTGACATAAAAATCGTAATTTGTCTTATATCAATTTGATATTAATAAAATATTTTCTTTTTCAATAAATTTGCTTGACTACATTTAACTAATCTTACGGCATGACATATAGGGGTTTAATTGCAAAATTGTTAATTTAAGGGATTCCATTGTGATATATCATGCAAAAAGTACATATGTTCTCCGAAAGCGAATGGAATGGCCGGATGACTGATCCTCTAACAAATCAAGGCTTATATTTATTTAATTAGGGTAGGGAAAAAATTTATTCATAAAAAATAAAACAAACAAAGAAAAAGAATCTATTGCTATTTTACTTAATCAAAGAACAAAAAACAAAAAAAAAACTTTTGCACCTATGAATCAGTAAAGGGAATTTCTTTTAAAAAATTATAATAAATCAGGAACTGAAATCTCTTCCAGCCTTTTTCTTTTCTAAAATACCAAAAAGAATAAAAAATAAAACAAAGATTATAGATTGTCAAAAACAATAAGAAAAAACTGTTACTCGGATAATTATAATCATTGTGGAGCAAGCACATGATCATTTGGTTCTTTTTAAACTTGGAAAGAATAAGATAAAATAAAAAAATAGCAAGCAAACTTCATGGTTTTATCACCAAATTTTAAATGCTTTGAATATCCATGGAACGCCTCCAAGATTAAGATTTAATATTTTTACTAAAAGGTTTAACATTTAAACAATTGAGGGATGAGACTGACGATGATTCTGGGATTGAACAACGAATATCCTCCATTATTTAACCCAAATATCATTCAATCATTCGCTGGGCTAAAATGGCTTGACGAAGTCTCCTTCCAAACACAATTCTTTAGAACATTATTGCGTGTAGTCCAATAGTTATTCAAAGAAAAAAAATAGAAGGTCAACCCCTTGCTTCATAAGGCTGTCTATTGAAAATGGCTACCAAATCCGAGGCAAAATTTCTGCTGAAGTTGCTCCGATATCATTTTTACTCCCTCAAAAGCGGTTCC